AAATATTTTTGGACATTCATCAGGTACAAGAATCAAAATACACTTGACAAAATGCACTTAAAAAGTACAGTGTATGCTTCTTGTTAAGCTGTAACCCCACTGCAAGCAGGTAATTACATGACAACTTCAAAGTAGTTTTCCAGGAGAAGGAAATTATTAAAAGAATAGCAACACTGCTTCTTTTTTTTCTAAATTAGAGAACAGAACTTGATCAACATTAACCACAGCCCTTGCACAGAAAACCAAAGCCCACGTGAGAGTATGCAAAGCATACTCAAGGGATTAACAACTTTAGGAACTGTATCTTTAGTAGATAGGTCAAATACCTATGGGGATTCCTAGTTCTTCAAATCACTGTTACTTTTCAGAAAACTCAGTTTAGGATTAGTAGTAGATAAATTCTCTGTCCTAAATCTAACCTAGGTAATTACAAGGACATTGGAGTTCAAAAGATAGTACCAAACTCTGTGACAACTCAATTTGCAAAAGAATGTGGAAAGGTATTTTTGAAAGAAAGGGTCAACTATTTGAAGTCTAATGAATCAGATAAAATTCAAATTTTCAATAAACCATATAAAAAACTTCCATATTCACTAACCTGATAATAAAGCAAGTTATTTATGTAAATTTATAAAAGTAAAAGTGGGAAGAAAAACAATATAATCACGTTCTTATTAACGACATAATTTTAAATTCATATGACAATTTGTAAGATCAAAAAAAGCATTCATATACTTTTAAAAATTAATATACAGATCATACAACAAATATCTCAAAGGCTTTATTCCTTAGTCACTAATAATATACTCCAACAAATACGAAACAAATCAGGATTTGAACAGTACATTTGTAAGCTTCAGAAGATAAAGCATTCCAAAAGGCACTGTCGAAATAAATCAATAAATGTAAAGCAGCTACAACTAAAGTGCCAGGATAATATACTACACTACATCTACCAACCAGAAAACGTTGTCTGAATATAAGTATACAAATGTAAACCTTAAAATATTTTAAATGTAAAATATACAATTTTAATCACAGTAGGAAACACAAAGCAGAAGTGTATTAGGAGTACTCCAAGATTTCTGGGATCACAGATTTAATTTCATAAATGCAGGAACTGTAACCATTGCCTAAATGTTGATAAATCATACAAAATTTCCTAAAATGTCAAAGGTATCAAAAGAAATATAGAATCAAGTAAAAATATAAACTGAGAGGCATCAGTCAAAGGATTCTTTTTGCAATTTCATTTTAAAATGTACATTTTTTCATTCATATAACTTTCTCAAATGTCTATTTACTATAATTTACTACCACAAGGCTCCTCTATGGCCTTCAGTTACAAGTTTGGGAATCCTAGTTTCTTCAAAGAAAAAATTTGCCTTGTATGTAAAATGGTGCAATGCAGCAATGGCTAAACCGACAAGGTCATTTTTCTACAGCACAAAAACCTAAAACCTGAAATTTATTGACAGAAAAACTGTAGTTTGCAAAAAAGGCCCCCTTGAATAAAGGTACCTTACCTTTAGACTGCTGTAAGAGGCCTTAAGTCAACTCAACTTTCATAAATTGCTACCAAAAAATTAGGGTGTGGCATATTAGCAGTCTCAAGGTCACGCTTTAAAAAACGAATCCAAATTAGTAAAATACTTAAAATAACACAGACAGCTATCCTTGTCTGTCAAGGTAAACAATGTAAGCTGAGGTTTCCCCCCAAAAAAAAGAAAAAAGGAAGAAAGTTGATAGCTCATACCTCGATGCATTGCTGTGTGGCGAACTGTCCTCCTCTTGGCTTTTGTCCTTATTTCTCATCATCTTTTAATTCTTAAATATTAAGGGGGAGGGGGAATCTGTGTTTGCTTTGAAGTCCTGTGCCCAGGTATTTACTGTCAAAAGTTGAAAGAAAGGTAAGGTCCCAGCTTCTATCGATGGTTTCATTATCAGGAACAAAGTCCTGACCACGTAACGATATTGTTATAATACAACAGCCGTAAGCACCAAAACCCAAAATATTTCTATTTTTACCTTAAAAAAAAGGGGGGGGGACAAACCGAACAGGGGCAATCATCTCTATCAATAACGAAAGTTTCTCAAAGTAACACACTGGATACAAATAACAATCTCTGTATCTTATTGCGTCATACAGGAATTTCTCATATTTACAAAAAATAAAGCAAACTTTAACAGATAAATCTTTAAAATTATCACTAATGATCATGAACTTACCTGATCCATGTAGTAGGTCCAAAGCAAGAGTCCTATCTAGTAGTAGAAAAATATCAGATCCCAAATAATTAAAAATAAAAACAAAATTCTCCGCTAAAAGACGAAAAATAAATAAAATAATCCTCAAATATGTTAACTGGTCAAAAAAAATAAAGCAACAATTAATACTAAAACGGGAACGAAGGGAAAAAACCTCATTAGGAGAGCGCACAAAAATGGAGGTGCGCCATGGCTTCTAAGCTGGAAAAAACAACGACCTGGGCTCTCAGTACGGCTGCTTCTTTCCAACAAGGCACGAAAAGAAAGCTCCTAAAAGCTGCTTTTCTCCCTAAAAAAGGCTCGAATCGACCCCAATAAGTCACTAGGAGAGGCAGGGGGCTGCGGGGGCCCCCTGAGGCTGCCCGAAAGTTAGGGAAAGTTGCGTAAAGTGAGGCGAAGGCAGGGAGCAGAGCGCGCTCTCTCTAAGGCACAGCCGCCATCTAGAGCCTCCTTCCCAGCTCTGAGAGCTCTGCCTTTGATTGACACTCTCTACATTTACCCCACAACTCAGGTGATGTACCATAGACCCACCCCTTCATCTCCACCAAAAAAAAAAAAAAAAAAAAAAAAAAAATCTTTCATCCCAGGGAGCCTGAGGACCCCCCACCCCACACCTCTCTGCCCCTCCAGACCACCCCATCAGAGGGAGGGGGGAGGGTTTCTTAACCCCCTCTGGCTCAAGCACCCTTTTTAAGCCAGAGAGAAATGTAATTTGTTCCTTTTGTCTAAAGATCTGCTAAATATTTCAGTCCTTGAGCTAAAATAACTTCCTCTCTGGACAGGAAGTGCTGTTTTATAAAGCCATTTTGAGAAAGGGATAATTCTTAGAGAATTTTATGCTCATTTTATTACTAATCTTTTTAAAAATTAGCAACCCCCCCTGGGTAAAATGGATTCTAAATAAAAGCAAAATCTCAATTTCATAAGTTAAATTCAAGTTTTGCCTTTATGAAGCCTAAAAATTATCTAAAGACAAAGTTTTAGGGGGAATTTTCCATCCCAACTGGAAGAAAGGGGTACAACTCAAGAGCGCCTCCCTAGTGTTCAGTTGCATTAGAGCAAAAATTAACACAACTAGTTTTTATTCTAGCATCTCAATTTTTCTTCATACTTTCACAAAATTCTTTAACCCGTTATATAACCTTGCAAATTTTGCTCCCCCCCCAAAATCTCATAATCAAAATATATTTACTTTCCACATTGATTCAGGCAAAACAAAGTTATTAAACAAGAATATGGAACTACGATGGTCACCCTCAAATAAAAGACCCAAGAAACTCCACCTTCAAAACCAACACACCATAAACATCCCCAACTCTCCCCTTGTATTTCAAGTCAATTTCTACATATGTACACATTTTGACAATAGTTAATAACAGTCACATCTGACAGCACAGTTATCAAAGTAGTCACAGGGCATATTCTCCTAGGTATCAAAACACTAAGACCAATGAAAACAAAATTAATACTAATGCCAAAAAAACAAATTATTCAACACTTTTTCTCTCAGGAAGCACCCAAGAAAATATTCACACATCCAAAAAAGAATCAAACTTTCCCTGTTCAACATTATAATCTTCCAGAATAAGGTCCTTTTCCCACTGAGGATATCCATTTTCTATGTACACCCAGCAAAAGCGACAAGTTGCACCTAAGTAAATGGAAAACCCATAACCAAAACCCAGTTTCAATTCCCTACTTTCTACAAAAGATAATTTTTGTACCAAAATCAAAATCCAAAAGTCCACTTTTTATATATACAAACCAACCACTTCAAACCAATGAGAACACATACTGCACATGTACCAATAATGGATGTATGTGCTGTAGTATTTATGTTAATCACAAATCTCAGTATTATCAACTATTTCTCACACAATAAAAATCAAGCAGAACTATTCCTGTATAATGAGAAAACATTATCAACAATTCATTTGGTCTAGCAAAATAAAGCTTACCAGGCCTTTATAAAATGGTACCAATTGCTTATGAATAAATACAATGCCAGTATTCACCTGGAAATCAATGTAAGTAACCTGTGGCATGACATGATTTCATTTATTTTACATCCCTAAAGGTACAGAGTAAGAAAATTGCAGGGTATTCCAATTTAAATTTACATAAAGTATATTATAGACAATATTGTCACCAGAATGTTAAGGCCTTTTGTGAATATCCTAAAGGACACTTCCCTAATAAAGCCAACACTTCTCCCCCTAACATTAACTAAAGACAAAAGGAGGCATCAGTTTACTTCAAATGTTCAGATGAATATTCTATTCCAAGAAGTTTTATTAACAATATTAAGGAGCACAGGTAAAAAAGATCTTTTCATCAACACAACTCAGAAAAATGCTGTATCACTCATCCTGAATTTTGAGGCAAAGTGCATTTTGTTTTAGAAGTTCATTAAAATCATGTGGCAAGTTAAAGATTCTATTATTACCCATTGGTTGGTTGGTTATTTTGCAAGACGTTTTAAGAAAGCAGAGAAGAGCATTTCAACCAAAAGACCATCTCTTAAAGCACAAATAAATTTCCACGTCTTTGTGGAGAAAAATTTTACTCAACCAAGTAAAATATTTTCCAGCACACCACTGCCACTTTACCAGCTTTATTCAATACACTTTACTGCTGGGCAACTGTAAAGGCCAAAGAGTTATTACGGCAATAAATGAACATTTAATTTAATGAATCTTCAGCTCAAAAAAAAAAAAGCCCAAACTGAGAAATTTTAAAGTGTTAGAAATTTTATTAAAGTTAACATTCCACAAGGTCATATTCATACAAATCAAACTGAAAAAAAAAAAATTCCAGGCATACAAAAACGTGCCATCTTTCATCTCCAAATGTCAAAAATGGACTTGTTTTAATGATACAAAAAGTCTTTAGAAAGTCAAATCCACTGTCCATTTGTGTTGGGTAAGAAATCTATTGTCTTCATTCATTTCACGCAATCCATGTTAAAAGAACCCTGTCTTGGTTGTATGTTATCACAGCACTCTTGTATTAATCCATTTTCCTCTATTCCCCATAGTGGACTGCCATCTTGATTTCTCAGTGGTAGGGTCCATTTGAGACTCTTCAAGCTGACTTGAATGAAAGCATTGATGTGCTTGATGAAAACATTAAAAGAAAAAAATGCTGTTGGAATACCAATACTCTTATTCCTTCAAACAGAGAATTTCCACCCACCTTGAAGATACTCTTACCATACACAATGCTTTAATTTTGTAACAGCTTTAAACCATGAAACTGTCTTAAAGTTGTATGTGCTACACACTCAACTTGTCTGAGAGAATCAAAGGCTCTACACAAGTTAACAAATTTCTTTTACTATCAGAGATACATAGGTAACCATAAAAAAGTAGCTGTAAGAAGATAAATTTTGACTAGTTAACTGTGATATTGTTACACTGTCTGTGAGAAGACAAAAATTCAAATTTAAAAATCCTGGAAAGCTAAATTACCACAACACTATGAATTTTAAGTCTCAATGCAGAAAAGTTTCCAAGCTTCTTCAAATAAAACTAATTATGTAAAAGAATCTTAAGGGATAAGAAAAACCAAGGCAGTGGATCATAGCATAATTTTCCAGTCCAACAGATGTTAATTAATTTTGCCTAGGTAATGCAAATAGACAATAAAGATGCCAAACTCTTCAGTTGCATATCTGAGAATGTGTGAAATATGGAACCCCCTCAGGAAAAAAAAAATGATAGAAAAGGCAAAATTTTATCCTGGATTATTTGATATTTGCCATAAAATGCTATCAGGTTTCAAAATAAATACAAATAAAATATTCCCACTGACAAAATACCATATAGGGTAAGTGGGAAGCCAGGACATTTTACCATTAAATAAATAATCCTGATTCATCAGGATCAACATAATTGCAAAAGTAAGTTTTAACCTGGTCTCCTCTATAAATTTTGCAGCTCTAAAACGAAATTTATAAAGTCTGGGTGACTTGCCTAAGAAATAGCTGAATATAAGGGCATTTTTGCTCATTAGGTAGTTAATGCCTTATAGCTATCCTAAACTATAATTTGAATTTGCTGTCTACTATGTACAATAAAAATCTACTTAATAAACTATTTGGTTAACCAATAAATACTACCACCCATATTAAAAAAATGACTGGAAATGAGTGTCAGGACATCAGTAACAAAAAAAATATTTCTCCTTAATAGACTTTGCCAATTCCTGTCCTGCCTAAAAGGAGAACTAAATAACTCATCTGTCCCCCACATCAGTAAATTATCTTCCATTTGAATTGTTTATTCCTTTAAATTATGGGATATACACTTCTATACAGAATTGTAAAAACAGAAATACCATCATTCCTCCTGCATAGTTAATTATAAACCAATTTTCCCCAATCTTTATTGTTTTGATGCAAAATCAAACTCTAAATGAAGTTGGGGATGTAGATATTATGATGAGTAAAACTAAAGCATTGCGAACAAATTACAGACATCAAGTTACAATCATTTCATCGACTATAGGTGCAATTTAGTCAATTTAGGAAATGAAATGATAAATCAATGCTTAGAACAAGAGGTAAAATTTATCTAGGACTTTATATGAAATTTCCTTCTAAAATCCATTACTTAAATAATAATTTTTTTTTGAAAAAACCTAGTGACATTAACATCATTCCAAAATTACTGAATAAAAGCTAATCAGTTTGTGTGACAAAAATAGAGATTAGGCCATGCTATCAGATATACTGTGCTATACTGAAGATGATAAAAACGGGCGGAGGGAATGACCAAATAAAGGGCGCCTGAAGAAAAGGCAAATACTGCCTGACGTTACAAAGCCACTAGCAATAAGCTCTCCTGTAAGGGCACCCAAAAGACAAAAGTGAGAATCTTGTTAGTAAGTAAAAGTGCTAAATCATCAAAGCACCTAAAAGGGTGAGAAATTCAGGAGTAATCCATTCATTTTTGTGGAATTCCAAATTCTTAAAAAACCTAAAATTGCTAATAAGAAAAGTTATGTTAAAAAAAAATTAAAAAGAAATCAGGCATGAGTTCTGAGCCTAGAAATATTCTTAACAAAATCCAGTTCATCTGTGACATAGAAAGAGCAGTACCTACCTCATGTAGCAGTAGTGAGGCTTAAATGAGATACTGCATCTATAGCATTTGTATTACCTGACATGTAGAAAGATCTCAATGTTAGCTATTACTCTGATATACCACAATAACCACTGTACCTAGGAGCCTACAAACCAACCTCACTAAATCAAGTAGTTTTCATTCCAGTAGTAATGAAACCTCTGAAGAACCCATAGGATCGTGGAAGTCAATTATTTAAAGACAAAACACTTTCCACTTTAAAGAGTATTATTTAGTCTTGCAATAACATCAGTATTAAAAAATTGAGTAGGGTTTAGGTATCAAAGGCCTACTACCCCATCTCTGGCCAGTAATTTGTGAATTGCTGCACACATACTGAGTAGACAGTGGCTTTATCTGGAATTCCTTCATCAAACAGACCAAGAGCTTTCATGTTATTTCACATACAAGCTAAGCTTCAAACTCAATTCTATGGAAAATTAGACTGTTTCCACTATGATGTTCACTAGCTTTTGCTTTTTTTGGGAAATTGCTTGTTCTAAGATAAATCCTACATGCTAAGGTAAAGGCTACTATGATAAGAAGGTAGGCAGTAACTGCTACCTCTTAAAATTCCCAAGTATTATAAATCCAGAAATTAACAAAATTGAGCATTGAGCAAGGAGGTCTACTCTTTAAATTCTAACTCAATAAACTTGTTCCAAAAACAGAGACAATGCAAAATAAAAGTTAGTTGAAATGCAAGCAAGAGGTTCTACTGGATTGGATTTAAGAGGTGCTCCACAAAAGAAGCAATCTCCTTCCCTCTACCTCCTAACAAAGCACACTATTTCTAATTGCAAAAAAAAAAAAAAAAATGTGAGGGATAGAGAGAAATACAAAAACAAAGAAGTGATTAATGGTACTTAATTTTAAAAACAGGGGGCTCTAATAATGCCAATTTTTATTAAATCATCTTAAACTGAACACCTATTGCAAAACCAAAGGGACCGATACATATAAAATTACAATCTGGAGCAGAAACTGATCCTTTCCATCATGTAATTAAGGTTCTTGGTGCTTATGGCTTGATCTCAATATTCCTTGTAATGATCTTTAATTTAAAAACATTTAACAGAAAATTCAATTTTTTTTTAACTACCCAAAAGAGCTCAAATTCTGCATAGGATTACAATATATTAAAAAGTCTGGGTCGGAATAAAGTGGGCACAGCCCGAGTGAGGCAGCTCAGGGGCTTAGAGAAGCCGGCTGGGTCCCCAGTCAGGTCACGCACAAGAATCAAGCAATGAACGCATAACCAAGTGGAACAACAAACCGACCTCTCCCTTTCTCTCTCCCCCTAATATCAATTAAAATATTTTTAAAATTCTTAAAAATAAAGTGGGCATAAACACTAACTACAGAATAATCTGAGAAAGACCAGCCAACTGTTGATTAATTATGGTAACTGAGTCATCCTATTAAATCAAACCTTCCTCAATTGCCCCTATTAGTGTAAAACTTGACTATACCTGCTTAAGAGATTAAAAGTTGTAGTTTCTGGTCAGTTTTAATTTTGACTGAGTTGAAGTGTTAACTTTTAGGCACATGGAAAAATTAATATTTAAAGATAAGACATCAGCAAGAACTTACTGAGCATCCATTATTTACCAGACAATTAATCTCTTTAAAATACGCTGAGACAAGGTTAGTAATTGTGCTACATTGGGAAAGCTTTCATCTCTGCCCTCACCTTTGATGTTGATGATGATGCCCTCAACATCAAAAATTTAAAAAAAGGGGGGGGGGGGAACTACTATTTTGCAGGCCTTAATAGCCATTTATACAATGGAAGCTGAAGTAGTAATTAGAAGAAAAACTATCATCTAGACCCTATCTTCCCAAGTATGATATAAAAGTATGCTTAACAGCCAGTATGTAATCATCATACCTAAAATTTTCTGTCAATAATAAATCAATCCTTTTGAGAATTCATCCCAATTCCTTTATACAGCCTTACCATGTACAGCCTTATCAATTGTGGGGAGAAATAACTCTTTCCCCTTATTTCTCAGGTTGGGAGATAGAAAAAGTATTCAACAGTAGTTGTAACCAAGTCTTCTAATATCAAAGCATTAATTAATTCCATGTGAGAAGAAATTTTTTGTTGGGCTTTCAAGTTTAAGAGAAGTTCAGAATACTTAATTTATTAGAATTACTATATTGAAACCCATTAAAAAGTATGTTCTATTCCCAAAAGAGAACCCCAAAACTTCCAAGTTCTACATAAGTTGACAGTAGAGAAGGTTCTAGGACAAGGGGAGGCAAGCTTTCCTCACAGAACAAGATGGTAGGTATTTCAGGGTTTGTGGCCATTATCTACTCCCAACTCTGCAGCTGCAGTGGGAAAGCGGACACAGACAGTGTATAAAAGAAAGCATAACTGTGTTCCAATAAAGCTTTATTTATAACAATATGGGGGAGTTCGCCAACACTCAAATCTAAGGTGTTACAAACATGTTGAAATCTGTTGTGCCGCATTGAACCTTCTGCCTCACTTAAGTGAAGAAAGTAGAAAATAAAAGGTTAGAATTAATAAGCAAAATTTAAATAATAAGCTTTATACACATCTAATCATGTTGGTTTTATACTTCTGTGCTGCTGAGCTTCACTAACTCCCTCTATGTATTTTTACAATTCTGACTCAGTTACTCAAAATTTCCAGAAGTCATATTAAAAATTAAAAACATTAAACATGTAAAGTGAATAAAACTTACTAAATGCTTCCACCAACATCTATTATGTTGTACAGGCCCTTTAGAGATTCAGTCTCAGGATTCACAATTCTGCAGAAAACAAAAATAATATAATTTTATGCATAGAAAAAAACAAAAATAAATTGTTAATATGCCTTGATTTACTCAGAAACATCTTTTAAGGATCATCTGCCAGAAAACCAAGACATATGTTTTTATGAACAATATAGAAGATAAAAGTTCTATCCCAAAGTATCTTACATCCGGCTGTACAAGAGGCTCACCTGTAGAGTAAGTTACTATAAAAACACATGCTTCAGTACCCGAGAACTCCAAGAGAAGGTAAAGTTTGGCCTCTCTGGATAGATCTAATGGGCAACATGGTTGAAATCTAGTTGTTTAGCAGAGCCAACATCACTCCTGAATAGTACAAAATTATTTTACCTTCTGGTCTCTCGTCTAATCTACCCTTAAAACTTTTAAAGGAAAATTTCCATCACCTTCCTGCGGTGCCATGTTTCTCACTTTATATGTCATATTATTTCACATCACTATGTACCCAATGCTAAAATAAAGTGTGTTAGAAAGGAATTCTTAGGCACAATTTCAAATACTAATCATACTGACCTACTCAACTCAAACTCTAACCCTTTCTAAACTACTTACTTGGTAACAAAAATATGATATCCACTTTTCACTAGTTAAGACTGAAATACCTCAATCTAAACACTGGTATGAGAAGATTTGTTTCCCATACCACAAATACCACTGAATATAGGTATATACTTTTTTCAGTTACTTCTGCTCTGAAGTATGATTATAATAATCACAGTATGTAGGGCTACCAAAAAAAGCTGTTTAAAAGTTCAGTATTAAAAGTATAGCAAAGGAATTTTAAAAAGCAATAGAATACTTTAGGATTTAAGCTAGAACTAAGCTACCCAATGCCTTTCTATGCTAAGGTTTCAAATTTTCAAAGTATTAAATATAAAGTTCCCGATTTTCTTACTAAATCTAAATATCTTTAGTCATCTTGACTAATCATAATCAATACAGCAAAAATCTGCTTCAAAATTACCACTAAGAGTAAGGTGCTAAAATATCCTCCCAACAGATAACAAAGCAATTTACAAGAAACAGCAATTATTTATTTTTAAGCTTCCAATATAATCAGATTTAACAAGGAGAGGATTTTCTGAACAGAAAATCTTGGATCAACCAAGTAAAATAAACTGATATAACCCCTAAAAGAAGAATGGAATTGTCTTAAGGAATACTGAAGAAAGAAATTTCACATAGGTCTTATAACACGCTAATAAAAACACAAAGAAATTTCAAATAGATCTTATAATGTGCTATTAAAAACGCTACCTACCAATACAAATGTTTACTTTTGGGTTCGCCCTCCACTAAAAACAGAAAAGGGCTTGCATCTCACTTCATGCTACCAGAAAAATCACTAACACCAATTTAACCTATCATACTGGCTCCTCAAAAATTGACAAAGACATTGCCTTCTTTTGAAGGGGGAAGAAGCCCAGATCAGTTTAAGCAGACTAGAGGCTGATGATTATGCCCAGATTCCTCCCTATCTTTAATAATTTGCAGTACTATAGATTTTCATTTAATATGAAGTTAGAGGTGACGTGTAAATAACCATTTTGATTGCTGGGCCTTTTATAATAAAAGGCAAAGATGGTTCTAGTAAACTCTTCTATTATCATCATTAGCCTGTCTGTGCTTCTCCTATATGATTTGATTTTGTCACCTTTTAAAATCCTTGGAACAATTTTTAACATTTAAATTAAGAATAAAATCTGAGAACACTATGAAATATAGTTAAAAACCTTCCACAAAAATAAGATGGTGACAAGGTCATCAGAAAACTTTGCTACAAGACAACTCACAAACAATTAAAATGAAGCAAAATATCTAGCATGATAATCCAAATTACAATTATTCTGATTACCATATAGTACATATTAGGGATATAATTCTTTGGGAAATATTCCATTTCAAATAAATGTTTTAGTTTCAAAAGCAAAAGACTTTTTCAAAACACAAAACTATCTAGCTTTATACAATGTTTAAATCAAAACTATCAAATTGCTGTAGGAAAAATGCTGCTTAAATGGTATATTAAAAAAATCAAGTCAGAGTTTTTATTTATAAAGTTTGTAATATCCTTGAATTGTAATGATTAATTGCACTCACAAATAACAGCCAATGGGAAATTTAAAAGTTTGAATTAAGCCATTCAATCTGGAGAGGGAAGGTAGCTGGTAAAACAAAGACATCTTTGAGGTACAGAGATTTCTTACAGGAAATTCATTATGTCAGGCATGTAAACTACAAATCCTTATCTATAATTGCAATGGGTCAGCTGAAAATGTTTCATTCGATACACTAAAGTTTAAATATATTTAATGGAATAATTATTTTTAAAACTCCAAATGATGTTTTTATTACAACATTCTAAATCTTAACTGTTTAAAGACAATTTCACACCTTAACTGCTGTTTAAGATCAATTTCCCAATGTCTTCATTGAAACTATTAATATTTTGGAATGCCTAAAATTAGCCAAGTTGGGTCCTCTATTGCTCAGGTCTCATGTTATTCTAATAGTTTCACCACAGAAATATATGATCTGCAATGCAAAAATTACAAAAAACTATTCTCCCATTTTTTTCCAGAAAATCAGACACTCCTTACTATTTTTATCACAAAATTTAAGAGCTACAAGTTATCTTAAGAGGTTAGAAACTCCATATACTCTCTATTAACTATGAGACTAAGGTGTACAGTGAATAAAATGTCGAAATAATATGGCTAATCTACATTAGAAGCTGGGTCTCTTGATTGCTGAATGTTATATTTTCCATTCTACTACACATTAATGAAAAAGATAGAGGTGTCCTCAAGTTAACTTTTTCCCCTTATGCCTCTCAACAAAGAATTAAATCTGAGAGGGGAGAAAGTAAATTAACTGGCCGTCCATTCCTAGTGTTTTTAATAATCAAAAAAGTGAGTAACAGCAAACTAAACCTGAAGAAATTTTTCTATTCAAAATTACCCACATCACATAATCTATCCTCTAGGTGTCATATCACAGCTCACGAAAACCTTGTGATTGACTATGAGCATAGCTTCTTCTATTTCTGTGGAACTTCAAGTAATTTTTCAGTAGTTATTACCATAACAAATGCAATGCAACCTAATCACCAATTAGATTGAAGATTTTTTTTATGATTCAAGAATTAGTTCAAAATGATAAAGTATTGATTTAGATATTTACCACTTTGATCGTCTAAGCAGAAAACAATAGCAAACTACTTTCCTTTTCTCATGAAATACAGTAATTTAAAAATATAAGCACTATGATAAAGGTTGATATACATGAGGACCCTTTGAAAATGTGATCTATTATAATCCTTTATCATGTTGGTAATAAAAGGAAAGTTGTATCCCATTAGATTAGGAATTAATTTACAAGTTATTGTATCATTTAGATTTTTTCTACTACAATTATTCATACTAAAATAAGATAAAAATGTTCATTTAACATATCTAACCTTCAACTGTTCATTTTTTATTTTGAGTTAAATTATACCTTTGGTTGGTCATTATGAATCTATTGCAACTTTATACTTAAACTTACATTGTATTTCACATATGGCTGTGTCGTAAGAGGTCATATTCTCAATTTCTACAAGTGCCCTACCACATCTGAGTAACAATCTAATATCCAATCATTTGCATAGAGAAAACCCTAATGCTGACATGTGTTAAAGAAGCTTCAGATAAAAGATGTTTTTAAGTTTTTGCATGTTACATCTTTAAAATGCTATAGTTGAAGGTCTAACATTCCATTTTCTTTTGCACACTATACATACAAATTTGATCAAATTGCAAAGGACTGGGAAGGAAAAATTAAGCCAAAGCAAAGACAATAAAAATATTACCCTTTTCTCCTATTTGAATGACTAGAATAAGCAAACACCAACAGATAAAAGATTTTCCACTTAAGTCCCAAGGGCAAAGGTAAACTTGTCCTTATATTAACTAATGATTATTTCACTATTCTTAAAACACACCCAAATATCTATTATTATATTACAAATATTTTTTGGTAAATCTTTACTAATTATCACCTTAAAATTAGTTTTCACATTCAGTTTAACTTGTAATTAAAGAATGTTTTCTATAAATTATCAGTGGGCATATGTTTTTTCACTCACATCTAGTTTTAAGATGCAAAATTACTGTATGCATATTGAGTATTACTTCTTCCTTTTATGATTTAAAAGTAATTACTAAGCTATGGAGGTCTTTTGAGATAAGTTATTCTGGATTCCTGTAAAATAATTCATTCTGTATCTGTTTGAAACTCCTAAAAGCAGGGAAAATGACTATTTAAAATTCAGTAAGTAGAAACCGCAATGTTTAAGTGTTTATTTAATGTTTGAAACATAGTTCTTTTAAGAATCCTAGGATCTGCAAATGCAACATTCTAGGCTATTTATAAAATGTGATCAGTATCATCATAAAGAATGTACACTTCAGACTGTAAAGACAATTTTGATGACTCAACTACTGATTTAATCATAATCCTGACGTACCATTATATTGGAAAGTACCTAAAGGCTTACTGTTCTGATAGAAACTACATGTATCAGCTGTTTCAATATTAATACAAAAGTGTTTTGATGTAAGGAAATAGAATTTGATGGCCTTTTTCTCATCCTTTTTCAAGATAAAGAAACAGTCTACAGTTTATGTTTCATTGACAAACTTTACTGATATTTTCCTACTCAAGTGGTGGTAGTTCTTAAATTTCAGATGTTAGAGAAAAACATTTACTTACTTGCTACATAAAATACAGACTTTGGCAAAGATTTTCTTTATCCTCAGAGATATAACTCCACGGTCTCAGTCTCGAAAATGGTTTATCTTTTGGGGGGAAAAAAATATTCTAAACAATTTATTGATACAGCAACCAATAGCAAGTAAGGACAAGTATTTTAAAACTTTTTATTATATAAAAGAAACAAAAACTAAAATCTATGCTCACAAAACCTGACTTTTAAAATGCCGTTCCCTAAAATCTATTAGTAGGAATAGTAAGTAGCTCAAATTTTCCAGTAAATTTATTTATTTACATGTTTAGAAGATTAAAATTGTTTGCACAGACTATTAGAGAGCTAAAAACAAAAAGTATATCATGGTTTTTCCTCAAAATATAATCAAGTCCTTTCTGGTTTCCAAAATTAAACAAAGGCATTAACGGACCTTTACTATTTACCTATTCAAAAGGCACATTAAGTTACAATGGCTATGCATATATACTTTCCATCCAGCGAAAAGGTTTTTAACTCTTGTAAAATTATTTCAGATATTTACTCTTATTCATAATCACTACTTACTGGAAATAAAAGTTATCAAAGAAAAACAAAACCTAGTAAGCTTATTTTTATGTCAAAATAAAGAAAATTTACCCAGTCTTACCTCAAATAAAGAGCTGTATTTGTTCAGAACCATCATCAACCAAGTTTAATTTTAATCTTGTAAGTTACCTTTAAAAAAAAAAAGGGAAGATGATATCAATGCTTTGATTTTTAAACATTTCTTGGCCTAAGTTTCAGTGTGATGAAACCATATTCCACGAACACGATCTATGGAGAAATTTAAGGGACAGCTCGTCCACACACTACCTGCACATATTAGGTTGCATTTACTTCTTATCTTAATATCTGTCAGTCTTTGCTTTCTTCATATTTTTGTTGCATGGATTAACACTTGTGATTGAGGCATTGAAATTTTTTAAAAATACAGATTTACATCTTTTGACAGATTTAAGATTATGGTCTTTATTTTTCTTCTTTTGATGCCAGGCAATCTCAAAAAACAAAGGAAAAGTTTACCATTTTTTAAAGACAAATCTTAACACTTCCTTACCATCTAGAAATACCTTTCAAGATTATGATTAACTGAAAATTAACTCTTCCAGGAGAAATTAGTGAAGTTAAAATGGCCACTGGTTACTTTAAATTTTTAAACTACAAGTTATTTGATCTCACCAAATGGGATATTAGCTTTGTTTTTTAGGCAAGTCTAAAACATGGAGTATCTATGACATTTATTCCATTTCAACCCAGGGTTTCTTGACCATTTTTAGTCTCTCCCTTCCCCCATTACTCATGTAAAAAGATCTTAAGAGGTTTAACTGCCAGCAATTATTTTGCATTTCACTATTCAAAAAGGATTCTGAAATACCAGATTCAGGATATTCATTTTAAACCACTTACAGTATTCAAAAATTTAAAAAATGGTAATTTGAAAAAACAGATCTGGTACTTAAACAACAGTGTCTGTAAAATCAAGATATGCGCAACTGATGAAACATGTAGCACTATATGAATGCCATTCGGGAAAAAAAATTTTTTTACTAACAAATAACCCTCAGAAATACGGTCCATTACAGCAGTATCTTTGTTAAGTATTATGCTACGTAAATTTGCCCTACACAATTTTTACGTAAATCTGCACCTTTACAGACCACAACAGCTACCGCAAAGCAAAATGAAGACAAATATATTCTAAAATACACAAAGCTTTTTGCATTTGTGGTTTGTTCAAACCATTGAACTTAAATTCCTTCTCAAACAATTTTTCAAATTCATAGGCAGAGGACAATGCAAATTTTTTGAAACCAATATACACTATTAAAATACTGTTCCGTTTTAGGAATATCTAGATTTTCGTGCATGCAACAAATGCAACAAATATGGCTCCTCTTCTTCGTCCATTACCGAGAGCAATCCTACTTTAAAATTTACACTGCGAGAAAGTAACTTCACAAAGAGATTCGGTGTCAAAATATTCCCCTGTAAAAGTTTTGTAGACAATGGCTTGTGATAATGTAGATTATTTTTTAAAAATAATAAAATGATGAACTTAAACTTTTAAAAGTCTAGGAACTGACCCAAGTACGTTCTAACATTCAGGTGTGCTAAGTTACAGATAACGGCTCCTTATGACCTTTTAAAAAGTACCAAAACATTATTCAAACATCAGAATGTCAAATAAACTCGGCAAAATAAACTGTATTAATCAAACGTCATCGTCTAGCACCATAATTAAATTCTATTTCCATTAAACAGCCTTGACATTGTAGTAAACTTGTCTTCCTAATTTTTGAAATACGAGACGCCCTCCTCCAACTTGCATTTTAAAAGACAACCTTAACGTCATCAAGGTTTTAATAAGCAGCAAGTACCTTCTCATCGGTTAACACTGCAGCCGTTTTCAAAATCGGCTTTGAAAGAGTTAAGAGCCAACACCCAAAAGAAAAAAAAAAAACAAGTTTTATTTTTCTTCCAACGCAGCCAGGGTGCCATTGTTCTTTTTTAAATTCGACCATCAAGATGAATTCCCACCTTACCGGAAAGAGGTTAAAAAGCTCCCCCGTTGGAGAACCTGAAAGGGATTTTTTACCCTAAATATCAAAATAACTCACCAGAACAGAAAGGGGCTCTTCTCGCGCGGTCCCCTTCGGGCTCCCGCCTGCAGTCACCAGCCGCCACCCCTTTCCCGGCGGGGCTGGTCCCGGCAGTGAGGCCGCCCCCTGCCCACCGCAGGGTCTGAAGCAGGGCCCCCCGCGCCACCGGGCCCTGGGACCCGCGGCGCCGAGGCGCTTCCCGCCTGGGGAGCCAGCCTACGACGCCGACGGGGTTTTCAGAGAGCCGGGCGGAGAGGCCCAACCCGCCACCCCCTCCTGCTCGCGTGTTCAAGGACATTTTGCTTTTCCTCCCAAGGACAAAGGACAATAAAAGGGGCCGGGGAGCCACTTACCGGGTCGGAGCGCGGCTGCCGGCACCTGGAGGTCGCCCGCACACGATTCCCGCGCCGGGCCTCTCGCCCGCGCCGGGTCGAGCCGCCGGGGCATCGGAGAGCCTCTGCGGACGATGCCGCAGCGGCGCTTTCGGCGTCGTGGGCCCGGCCGCTCCGGGCGCATCTGCCGCGAGATCCGACCCCGGCACAAGGCCGATCTCGTCTCAGCCGCGGCCGCTTCGCCCCCGCGTGCCTGCGGGCCGCCCGGGCGCACCTCCACGCCAGCTGGCGGGCCCCGCGGCCGCGTCGGAACGCCTGACAGCTCGGGGTGCTGCTGCCTCTCCGGCCATCTTGTGCCGTGTGTGTGTGGTGTCTCTCTCCCGTCTCCTCTCTCGGCTTTACTCCCTCCTCCTCCACCCCCCCGCCCCACACACCACACAACATGGCCTCTTCGCTGCGGCGGCGGCTGCGGCGGCGGCAGGAGCTCCGCGGCGATCCTGCCCGATCCCCTCCTCCACACTCCTGCCTCCCGCCTGCAGCATCTGATTCTTCCTGTT